GAAAAGGTGGGAAGAACCGTTTGTTTCCCCACCACCAGCGGCTCGCTTCCAACTTTTTGAGGCTCATGGAAGCATTCTTCTCCGGTTCGCTGGGTTACGGGGACTTTCTACGGCGGGAGATTCCCACGCCTGTCAAATCTCGCTCCGGAGAGTGAGCAGTACATGGGGAAAAGTCAAGCCGAGGTGTTCCAGCTCCTTCTTTCTCCCGAATGTGTTGTGTTTCGTTGCTCAGTTGGCGACCGATCTCGTGGGCTCTTCTAATTGCTTCGTGGGCTGGAACCCATTCCTCCCTCGGCACCCTGCTCTGATCCCAATTTAGAGGCCGGCAGACCAGGAGACTTAATTCTGGGTCATCGTCCGAGCCGACGTCATGGTGAAGATCACGAACGTGAAATCCCCGCATGGTGTTGATCCCGGTTGCCATAGAGGCTTCTGTCTTTCAGGTTGAAAGCAGCTGTTGGTGTGTCTCGGACAGCAGCCAACGAGATACGGGGGCAGAGGCAGTCTCGGGTATTGGGTCGGCGATCAAAAAGCATTCCGAGAAGCGGTGTGCCTCTTCCAAGACAAACATGCAGTCCGACATTCCTCTTCGCGGGCACACTGTAGCCGGCCCGAATCGCTGTCGAGAACTGCGAACGCATGACATCTCGCCGTCATCGAACGGTCCGAGCCCTCCCGTTTCGAATGAAGAATGGCATGTTCGTACTGTTGCACGGCAGATGGCATTTCACCATGGCATTTCGATCAGTCTTTCAAGTATGCTGTCTTATATAACGACGCCAAAACTCAATCCTGATCACACGCTACCCCTCAAAACTCAAGTCCCGCTGCCCTCTGCCCCTTAATGTTCGCACGCCAACAACCATATTGACCTTACATAAGCCTGTCTTCTTTCTTTAGCCAATCGCCAGCCAAGTCGTGACTACAACCAACATGACCAACTTCCAAGGCATGCACATCGCCGCAAAGGGAGATGGCCAAGCCTAGACCCGGGACTCGCAACCTCGTTCCAACATCGTTCCAACAAGTGAGGCTTTTGTGAGTGCGGCAAAGCTGCTGATAGGCACTCTGGTTTACCGGAAAGAGTTTACCGGGAAGAAACACACCTCCTGCTTCCGAGCAAGGAGACGTTACAGGACAGAAGCCGCTATCTAAGTCCCTGGATGAAGCGGTCGGTTGGTTGTAGGGGCGGCTCGCAGGAAACATGCCGCAACCGAAGCTCACGGTTGGACTGAGTCGACGGGGTCGTGGTACTCATACACCTTGTTTTGCTTGTCACGGCCCGTCACCGCGGGTGCCACATACGTCGACACACCTGTCCTACGATCGTACGATTTGAATGTGCTTGCCAACCGCTTGCCACCTCCCCCAGGAAGGTCGACCACGAACTGCGGCATCATGAAGCCCGCAATCGAACCCCTGATACTGGCTTCCAGATCCAGAATCGTCTGCAGCGGCGTACGCAGGTGCTCCGACTTCCTCACCATGTCGTGTTGGTAGACGTAGTACTGGATCGAGTCAGCGAGGTCTTGAGGCCAATGGGTTACATTGCTCACTGGAAATATGTTATTGTCCGCGAGTCTTCTGATCAGACTGGACATGGTGGCAACGTCGTCGTTGATTCCACGAAGTAGGACCGACTGGTTTCGCACCATCACCCCTGCCTCGAAAAGCCTTTGGCTGGCCCTCTCGGTAATCCAGGAAATCTCGCTGGGGTGGTTGATGTGGGTGTGAAGCGCCACAGCTTTACCGACCCTACGAGCTTTGTCCGAGATCGAGATCACGGCATCAGTCCATGGGTCGTTCCGGTCCAGAATGCGCGTCGGACAAACAGCAAGACCCTTAGAAGCGAATCTGAACCGACGGACATGGTCTATTGAGATAAGACGATTACCAATCATCTCGATATGTTCAGGCATGAGTTGATACGAATCTCCCCCGGAGACAACAATATCTTGGATCTCTGGCGTGCGCTCGATGTGTTGGAAGACGGCCTCCCATCGTGCACGCCCAGGCTTGAGGGAGGCTTTTGCCACACTCTCCGTATTAGCACCAACTGCGTAGGAGCGAGTGCAGAATACGCAATAGGTTGGACACACAGAGAGAGCTTCGGCATGCGGTCAGTCACGCTGCAGACGCGGGAGGTGTATCTCATGCACTCACGGAGGAACAGGGCCTTGTCGGGATACCGGTGAACCAAGCCATTGACGGGGGAGTCGGCTTCCTCTTCCAACGAATCAAGCGTCAGCTTTGGGTGATCTGGCTGCATTATGGACTTCGTAGGTATGAATTGGCGGAAAATGGGATCGTTTCGCGGGTTGCTCCAATCGATACGACTGAGGGTGTATGGCCTAAGAGACTAGTTCAGTCTGCATTCCAAGAATTCTGGCGAGTAGCTTACATCACTCTAACAGACATGGTCGCTTCAGAAACGCCTTTAAAGATATCCGCTATCAGCTTTTCTCGAGGTTCCATTACACCACTTTGACCACGAGCGGGAATTAGCTCTGGCAAAACCCTGTCTAGGAATCGGCGCAGCTTGTTTGGCCCTTCGACCAGGTTCTTCATCTAAAATTGGCCGTGTGTCAGCTATTGCCATCGGTCCAGTTGCGGCATTGTAACACCTACGCTCCATCGGTAGCTGATGAACTCGGCTGTCGAGACATCCTCCCACCCTGGCACTCTGCGCCAGAACTGGTCGACCTGCTCCGGAGGTGGTCTCGCATATGGTGTGACTGGGTCAAGTACTGGGGGATCTTCCACAATCCTCTCGGCAAGCGCAGAATGGGCAGCTCGAACACGAGATGAAGTCCCGACCCTGCGGAAACCATGTATGTGACAGCCACGAGTCGGGCGAGTCACATAAACTTGGAGGTTACCTACGAACCTCATTTTGATACCAGCCTGCATTGGCTGCAGGAAATATCAGAATATCAGGCTAGATTGGCTCGGAACTGGCAAAAATGGAGATATCTGGCGATCGGTTCTGCAGTTGTGCGGTTTGGAGTGGCAGCGGTAGTATTTCGACATCAGCTGCAGTCAACTGCGATATGGCTGGGGCGCGCTTCGAGCTAAGCGCGCAAAGTGCGAACTGGGAACCAAAAGACAGAGATACCGAAGGTGAAAAGGTGACACAAGATGAAAGAGGTTGAGGGAAGATATGGCCAGTCTGGGTGAGACACGCCAAAAGAAGGACGGCATTCATGGGGGATGCTCTTGGAGCTATCGCCGTATTTGATATTCCTCCAGTGCGACTGGCCGCATGACGAGCTTCCCCAAAGTTCCTCCCAATCACGAAGGAAGCTGCGGTGTAAAAAGAGATCAACAACAAGCGAGGGAAAGCAAACACGGGGTCGGGGGACCAAACATGCGCTTCCAGGGTCATTCCTTCAGCAGCCCGACTTGGACAACCAACTCGACGGGTAAGCCCTGCCCAACCTACCTAGCCCCGCCTCACTCATCCACGCTTTACGCCCTTGTCACTTCTACATGTGAATAAGTAACACAAAGGTACGGTACCCACCAACAATTCTAAGTAGGCGCTTGCTAAGATTTGGTTCGTTGCTGTCGTACAGATCTTGCATGCGCATCCTTCCTCGAGTTGGGCATGTCAACGTCGGCCTTCGTTTGAATCCTATCGAGCTCATTCTGCCAAACAATCTCAGGACATTTAGAACGAAGGCTAAGCAGAGGCAAGGGCATGGAACCTGGGCAGACGACGGGCATCTTGTCCCAATTCGCCACCTCTTGCACAAGCAGCATGCCTACTACCTTGCCATCACGCCTACTCACTTTTTTCTTCTTCTTCTAGCACCCAATTGAGAACCATTTGCATATATCCCGGTTCCATAAAAAGCCCGCACCATCAAACGACGTCGTCTCATTAGCTACCAGGCGTCCGGTCGACGCCCACTAGCTCCCCACCTCCCTTGACAGCATCCCCATCTCCACAACACCTCACCGTCCCTAACCGCGACCAGGATGTTGTTGCGGCAAGCATTTCCAAGACATTGGAAGACGATTGAACCAACTCACCGAGTCGATAGACGCGGGCCCCGACGAATAATCTCGTCAAACACAAATCTTTATTCATCCGCTCGAATGGTGAATGCAGAGACATTCAGCCGCATCATCCCAACAAGGACATTCGACCGAACTCTGAAGCAACGTTGGCTCTCGGTTGCTATGTTCAGTTACAACAAACAAGCAGCTTCATCAGATGAGGGGCTCGTCTAAGTTGGATGCTGCCCTTGTGGCCAAGTTGCCTAGCCTCCCCGCGGCAATGGGCTTTGCAATCCCCCCTTGGCGCAGTGCCCTCCGCGCCTCCGAACAAGATGGGACTCCTCCACCAACCTGTGATTTCCATCACATAGACAACAGAACGACTTGAAGACTTTGGTTTCTCATCAACTTTTTTCGAGAACTGAATATGATAACTTGGCTTTTCTGACCACCATTGACCAAAGTCCCAGGTTGAGATCCACAGCCAAAGTTCCAACTTCTAATCATTGACGGAAGCTCCGGACGCTGGTTCTGAACCAAAGTTCTCTGTCTAGATTCTCACTTCTGCGAGACTGTGGCAAGGCTTCTTGAGTATAACTCGACGATGGCCGTAGGTGTACACACGCCGACTCAGCTCACTCTACATGCCGTGTCTCAGCGTAACGAAGCTCCGGCCATGGATACCGCGTCTGAACAAAAAACGGCCCACGAAATGACCGCAACACCTCCTCAAAGAGGAAGAGAGTATGGAACTATTTTCTTTGGTCTGCTGTTCAGGTGGCTTTACATAAGATAGCTGATGTCTCAATTCTCATAGGCTACCGACGCGATATCCCGCGATACACATCGATCCAGCGGACGAGACCCGGCCGACATTGCCCCAGGCTCGACCACTGTCTGTAGAATACCCATCTGCTAATCAAGTACATGTCATCTCAACGGAGCCTGTAGACCGTGGCTGCAGGGCATGGTCCGTCGTGGTGGGGTCGACGGCAACCATGATCCCGACCTTCGGGTTGATGACGACGGTTGGCATTTTTCAAGTCTACTTGAAGGAAAACCAGCTTGCAGACTGGTCTAATACGGAAATATCGTGGATTATATCCGTCTTTGGCTTTCTTGCAGTCCTTCTGTGCGGCCCCTTTGGCGCAGTGTTTGACAAATTCGGCCCTCGATGGCTGATGACGCCTGCTGCCACGGTGTACTGCGCATCATTTCTCGGCATTGCTTTCAGTAATCGGTATTGGCAGTTCTTCCTCTGCTTCTCCACTGCCGGAGTAGGTGCGGGTACGTTGATTCATCCCAGGGCGTAATCCAATGTACCTAACCTTACGGACGCAGCGGCATTGACCACGAGCGCTCTAGCAGTGATCAATCATTGGTTCGACAAGAAGAAGGGGTTGGCAATGGGCATCTGTACCATGGGCGGCGGACTTGGTGGCGTGATATTCTCAGTCGTACTTCGATTTACCACCAAACACCTTGACTGGACTACGGCCAGTCTGGTTCATCTTGCAATAATTGGCGCGTTTCTGTCCCTCGGGTGCGTCTTGATCAAACCCAAGATACGCAAGCCTCCTCAGGGCAAGCTGTGGGACTTCTCCTGCTTCCGACGCTGGGAATTTGTGCTCTTTACCTTGAGCGTGTGTGGTATGACCTTCTCATCCCGGCTTCATCAGTAATGGCTGCCCTAATGCAGGCTAATAACAGGTTTTGAGCTGGTTCTATTTGTGGCCTGGGGTCTGCTTCCGACATACGCCAACACAGTCAAACTTGGCGACGTCTTTTATCTGACCCTTGTATTCAGCGTGTGAGTCTAGCCCTCTCTAGCCCTGGCGATTTGGGGCTTTGAGTGCTGATCACGACTCTTCAGGGGTTCTTCTCTGGGAAGGATAATTCCCGGATATTTCACCGATAGGATCGGTCCTTTCAACGTTACCATTGTGATGACGATACTCACAGAGGCGACGATGCTTGTACTATGGCTCCCCTTCGGCGATACCTCTGCATCTGCATTATACGCTGTTGCTTTCCTCCTGGGATTTGGCACCGGCAGTTTCGTCTCAACGGCGGCGACGTGTCTTGGCAGACTCTGCAACGCTGAAGACGGCGGTACCTACATAGGCTGCTGTTACGCCGTCGTCAGCCTGGCGACACTGGTCGGTAATCCTGCAGGACAAGCTGTGCTGGGTGATGGACAAAATGGCCGCACCCGTTGGACCGTGGCCTTCCTCGGACTCATTCTGATGGTGGCCCTGACCAGCTGCTGCTTCGTGCGGTGGTTGTGTATGAACAGAACATGGAAGTGGTCGGTAAAAGTGTGAGTCGAAACGGAACGACACCAGCCGTTGGACGTGGGAACAGTCGTTCTTTCTTATTTCCCTTCGACTTAACAGGGATTCAACCCACGCTGACGATGGTGGGCTGCCGGTATGACCAAATCCTTGGCTACCCCGTTTGCCACACCGGTGAGGCACTGGACCAACATGGTTGGTTGATGACAGCGTCACACCTAGTTATCTGATTTTCCTCATAGCGCATCCTGCAGCCGACATTGAGGGCAGGCAACAGCACAGAGCTAGCGATGATGCTGCAGGATGAAGCGCCCATGAATCGTACGACAATGCCGGCGGCATCTCATACACCGCAAGTCGGCATACATCGCGCTCTTTGTTTTCAGCTCTCGGTACCACGACAGCCCAAGCTTCCTCTAGCCCGAGCCGAGACGTACCAGACACCCCCTTTGGCCCCTTTCCGATCCCGTGCTTACGGGCATGTGTGGCTGCGACACGTTCGACAGTCTTTGCCCGGATACCATCAGGCCACTCGACCACTTCAGAAACTTCTTCGTGAGCCAGAATGGAAGACAAGACATGTCCTCCTGTGTAATCGCAGATCGTTGACCTGCGGATCTGTGTTATGCGAGTTGTCACACGCGCGTATCTGAGATCCTACGGGGGACTCATCCGGGTCGCCCGCCAGGCCTGAGAGAACTGAAGCGGCCGGGGGTAACCAACGGGGTCGAGCGGTCCAAGCCCGGGTTTAAGAGTCGATGGTCCAGTTTTTCCTTGTTTTGCCAACCAACTCGCCGTTGGTTTCGCAAGAACGTTGATAATGTGATTATGCGGTTGGTGGCGGGAGCTCCGCTTGACAAGGAACAGGTCACTTGTCGAGTGGAACAAGTGGATTTCTTTTAGTATGGGGGACGCTTCCTGCATGTTGTACATACATATTACGGTTCAGTTAATCGCTTTCGGACTGGTAGCTGCACAACAAGGAGACATGTCCGGGGATGGCCTGACAATAACGATTGGTGAAACGGAGACTTGAGCTAAGAAGGTAAACTAACGTTCTAGCCACGAAGAAAACTGTTTCCAGGCGACTTCCGACTGCTTCCAGGCTGATAACGGCCCAGGGCCTGGCCGAAACCTTCGTCATGAACCACTACTCGGATGATCATTCCCCAGGTGACAGACCAGGGAGGGGGAAGGGCAGGAAGGATCGATCTAAAAGGGCAAGAATGTCCAGGGGTGACAGACTAGCGATTGAACCCAGTCGCCAACTCGCGGGGTTTTCCGTCACTAACTTGACCCATCCCAGACCTGGAGCTGGTGAAGGGTTTCGACGATATTTTGTCTCGTGTTTCCCGTTCAGGCCATTTAACCCCCGAAAAGCAACCAAGTCGTAACCGCACCTATGCCTGTTCGGGCGCTAACTTCGAGCATATTGCATTGTCACGTACATGACATGACATGGCACGACATGATGGGCTGTAGGGGAGATGGCCGTCTGCTGCCGACATGTTCAGCATTCGGGTTCATATATTGCGTACGTTGCGCTCATTGCAGATAGACTCTCCGCGGGAAACGCTGGTCCAGAAGAGGTATTCCGTTCTAATAACGTCGGGGAGTAGTCATGTAATAGGAAACTCGGTGAGCAGAACCGAGTCATTCGATGGGGGAGGAAGTTCACGGGATAGGTTAGCTGGCGTGTTTGAGATTGGGATACGCGACCCAGAAACACAACTGTCCATGGGCACTGACTAGGGGGCAGATCTAGGGCGGAAGATCGCGAGACATTCCGGCTTTTGGAAGGGGGCATGACGACGTTCAGCCACACCCCTGGTGAAGGACGGACGAAGACAGCAACAATCGGCCGAGTGAACGAGACTTTCAAAGATCATCGCCATGAGCGGAGTCCAAGGTTTCGGCGCGGCCCGCTCGTTGGGAGGGACGGGTCCCCGAAAAAGAAGCAGACCAGCTTTCGCGATCCATCTTCGGTCCCAGCCCGTCTTTGTCTCTGGTTCACGAAAGCGAAAAGCCCTCCTCCCAACGGCCACAGCTGGGCTTCCACGCGGGAGACCGCAGAGGCTAGCGGGAACTCTAAACCATGATCTACACGTCAAACACCGCGGCCGCTTCGCCAAGTACTCGTGGTCTCGGCGATGGGTTCTCGCTGAATCGCTGCCCAAATGCCCGAACTTTCTGTGATCCATCGACATGATCTGACAAGGAGGTTGCGGGCCCAAGCTCAGAGACATACGAACCTCTCAGCCCTCGCCCCCTTGCTTGACATCACAGTGAGAGATGAACGGACGACTGGCTCTTGCAGGGTTGGAGTTTAAAATAGGGAGAGCGGGATGCCGAGGCTAGATGCTTGAGAGATCCGGCGCTTTGTGAGAAGTGATGTTAGGTGTGAAATCGCAGTAGCCCCACGCGCGGTCCTTTTGTGTTCTACGCTTCGCGTTCTACCTGGGTTTTCTTGCAGTAAACTCTTCCTTGCTTCTTTCTTCTCGCAGACAGCGGTGTCGGATAGGTGGGCGGCATGGTGTGGTCGGGGTAAATGGTCCGGATGCGTCGCTAGTTGCATGTGTAGATGGGCTGTCTGGGCTTGACCCTCATGGTGCGCGAGGCTTAGGGGGTTCCCGCGATATTTTCGGAGCCCGTTCCGTTGAACATCCGGGTCCCCTCTGTTTTCTCCTTGGGAGAACCTTCATCCAGTGAGCATTCTTGTCTACTCTCCCTCTGTGTTTTGTTCATTCGTTTCGGACACGTTCGTGAATGAGCAAGGCGACAGCGCCAGGGCAAGGCCTTGCGTTTCTTTACCTCATCGCTTGCTTACTCGAAATGAGAGTGTCCCCAGTGGGCTTCGGAGCATGTTCGCTCGTGGATCTTGTATCCGGCGATGATCACCGGGGGGTGGTCCACGATCGTCCGTATCCATTGTTTGTCCACCGGAGTAACCCCGCTGCTGCATGCTCGTTATCCGTCTCCTTTATGCTTCTGGGCCACAAACATAAGTATGTTTTTGACCCTTACCGGAAGATCAGATCTTATTCTGTCCCTGAGTCGGGGGCAAAAGCCGAGAGAATCGGGATCTTCTGCCGGCATGCATTTTGAACGCGCCGGACGGGTGTTCTTGAGCCATGCTCAAAACACTTCATTCACTACATTGATTTCGCTGCGTCGCCGCGTTCCTTCGTTCATTCAAAGCTCGGGTCTTTCTTTTTCATGCTGCATTTTGCTACTTGGACCATGATTTGCGGTCAAATCCCGCGGGTTGGGGGTCGTCGCGGGATAAGGCCGGTCATCATCGCACATGCTTTCATCACCAGGAAATGCGGCAAACACTGGCATCATCTGCTTCTGTTGCCCGAGGTGATTCTTGTCCTCTTTTTCTCCGTTCCAGAATTTCGACAATTCGTCCAAGGCTCCCTGCTGAGTTACAATTTGCTGTTCACTGCCTTGAAAATTTGCCGTTCTCATTCCACTTCATACCATCGTCATCTCTTCCAAAAAACGGAGCCCGGTAGCCCAAAATAGCTTCCATTGCACTCCCGGGGCATCCATCAATCGCTTTTACTCCGCTCATCGCATTTCTGGCTATTTTCGTCCCTCTTACATTCATGTCATTTTATCTGCTTCAGTGCCTTCATTCCCAACGAAAAAAATCCCTGTCGATACCGAAGCCACACCCGAACCACGTCCCCAAAATTGGAGCCACGCAGCCACGGCGTTGGTGCAAAATATTGTTTTGTACAGGTCGACACGATTTTCTTCCCATTCTTGAGATACTATAGCCTTTTTCGCCTCTAATCATCTTTACGATCGGAAATTAGGCGATCTGAATCGATCGCGCTCTGTCGATGTGGCGCCCGTTGCGGTGGACAACATTCGTCGTATCCGTGGCTGTCATTCGCTGCTCGTCTAGTTTTCGATAGTCCAAGGCCCGCGATCTTCGATCTTCTAGTTTAGTTCAGCCCATCGCCACTTTGGACTATCCGATTTTTCCGCAACTGGTCTTTGTTGTTTTCTGTAAAGACGGGAACTAGTTATTATGGATCTTGGGGATTGAGTGTTTGCCCAATTGCACGCTATTTGGGAAGCGATCTAGAAGCATCGCAATCACGATTCAAACATTATGCAACACAGGCCTACAATGGCGAGACTTGTTCTATTGTGTTCAGATACGAATTTGAAGTTAGAACCTTTGAAAATAATGGTTTTTATTCTCAAGCCTTCAGATCAAATAGGGCCGCCAGGCGCGAATTGGATCGTTTGTTGTTTAGGCTCAAGACACGGATATCCTTTTAAATTTTCAGCCAGAAGCCGGATGATGTGAGGGAAATGTCTTCTCTTCCCACTCTTTCCAGGGTTCAACTCATCTACTGTACTCTTTCCTTTGGAGAAAGTTAGCTCTCACTAGCTTACTCTGCGAAGAAAGAACAACACCACTCTTAGGTGGAACAAGAACGCGGCGGAGGCAGCATGGGCTCAAACCTCTCACAAGCGCCCAGTCGAACTCATCCATATCTCCCTGAGAATCGAAAAACTGAGGCTTAAGGTCTCTGATAAGGTAATTAATCCGAGGACACCAACTGACATGCTCTCGTCATTCCCTTCTTGGACTGGCATCTTCTCGCGCAAAAAACAAGTTGCACCTAACTTTGTTCAACCAGTTTCTTTTTGCCAATACACCATCGGATTGTTCACAGAAGAAACACAAGCTCTCTTACTTCAAGTGAAAGGAGGTCTATTATGATAGACTAACACCTTAAGTGTACCCTCAACTCGCAGGGTCTTGCAGTGCGAAGACCTCGTATATGCAACTCCGCTCTATGTTCTGCTTCTGGAAATCTGTTTCTTTTTCGGTGAGAACTAACTGGAGAGCTCATCTCCCACATGCAAAACAATTTTCTTGAACCTTATTGCATGGCTTTTCTCGAGGCAACATTGCCACCAATGAGACAACGAGGCACTTGTCCATTTCGTCGTTTTCCGTCGAAATGCATGCTTCGCGTTCTCCTTCGAGTACGTACAGCACTCGAGAACCTTTGACTCAACGTAAGCTGAATGAGGACGACACGAAGTATGGACTCTTGCGCAATTAGTTTTTTTTTCAACTGTTAAGCAGGTTGGCATGTGAGCGTTACTTCGGGTCACCGTTACATTCTAATATAACATCTATACCATGCTTTTTCTAAGCGAGAAAAGCAATGCGAGACGTTCCTGGGCAGCATCCAGATCAATGTACATCCCCTTCGTGGCTGGTAGCATTGAGCAACTACCCAAAGAGCACAATGGCTCATGTATTCACATCCTGGCAAAGGAAAACTTGATCTGGATACCAAACTACTTGGGTCAAATAATCGAAAAGAGTGTGGGCTTTTGCTAAGGCAGAAAGAACACCTCAGATACCCGAACATAAGCTGAGATACACAGAAGAGGAATCGTCGCAATCAAATACCAATGATGAAGATACAATGCCTGGACATTCGGCTTTCGGGCGTAATGCTGGCATCTCGTGCCTACCGGGACAATTGAAGGTTGTACCATTTTGCACTGTCCTGACCTGTCCGACCACGATGTTCTTCATCAAGAGCTCGTCGAATCACTCGAATACACAGCGCCGAAACAAGTATCAAATAGCTCGGCGCAACCCTCGATGGACTAAGCAGTCGGTGGACCTGAATGTTTGATCAATTATCGGATGTGCCGTCAACGACATCGCACGCCGAGAACGCAGTCTCCGAACTTTTGTAAATACTGCCCACGATCGTCATGATAGGTAAATGAGTGTGTAACCTGGCCGGATGCTAAAGCTGAGGCTCGCCGTGAATGGGTGGGTTCTACAATAGCTTCGTTCCTGACGGGCGTTAAGAAAACGAAGCTAAAACTGTGATCCAAAAAGCATCACCGTAGGTGACATGGGTCATCTCGGCTTGCCCTCGTACTTGTTGCCAGTATGCGGGATGAAGTGCCTCGAGCGACCACTCAGTCATGCTATTTGATTCGATTTCAGGATTGGTGTGTAAAAATTGGTATCATATTCGATCATTATCACAACAAAGCTAACACCCGCGAAGTCCCGTTGCTGTGTCCTGCTAATCCGGCAATCAAAGCAAAGCTCAAAACCATTTACTTCTTCTGCTATACCATGATTAAAGCCCAGCGATTACGCTCTGTATACCAACACTACTGGCATCTTCGCGCCGCTGGACAAAGGCCTTGAAGTCGGCCTTGGAGAGCTTCTTGCCCATACCAGAGGGTCCGGTGGCGAGCGTGCGGGACTTCTCCTTGAGGGCCTCAGGTCCAATGATAAACAGTGATCCAATATCGGTGAGGAGCTCGACCGAGGCCTCAACGTCGGCGGCGAGAGACCACTCCTTGATGGTGGAGACGTACTTTGACAGATCCTGCGCAACCATAAGACCTCCAGTGGCGTTAACCTGGAATTTCTTGAAGTGGTCAAAGAGTAGAGCCAGCACGGCAAGCGCAACCTCGGAGCTCCAGACCTCCAAGTTCTGGCCGTCAACAGCCTGAGAGGCGTGACGAGACACACTGGAAAGGAACTGGCTGATTTGCAGACAAGTTGGGGTCTGCAGGGAGTCAATGTCTCCATCCCGGGGACGGAAGTCAAACTTCTTCTGGTTCGCAAGCGAACGGGTGACCCAATTGGTGACGACGTCGATGGAACTACGCATGACGGCGTTGGTCTTGCGCTCGATGCCGTCGATGGCGGATTTCGTCTGCGCTGACATGTTGCGACGGACGGTCGTGTTTGACTCAGCCAGCTTGATAAGGACAGTAGTAATGAAGCGCTCCATGATACTGGTGATGGTGACTGCAGGGCGAATGGAGGGGAGGTAAGTGAGGTCCGGCTCCGTCTTGATGTTCTCCTGGGAGCTCGCCGCGTCCAGGGCGGCGTCGAGAGCGGTCTCGACATAGACGCGGCCCATGGTTGTGAGCAGCAGGTTGAGTAGTACGTTGACATCCTTTGGTGTCTCGACTTGGGAGCCAAGTTCGAGGGTCCTGCGAACTGACTCGGCAAGCCACTTCATCATTCTCTTTGCGTTTGCCACACTAAGAACACCATCCTCCTCCGACACCTCTACTTCTTCCTTGTTTTCATTGTCGCCTTGAATTCCCGCAACACGAAGCATCATAGCCTTCTGTGTGGCCGTCAATTCAGACGAATCGAGACGCTCGAGGTATGCGTCCTTGGCTGATGACAAGAGCTGCGAACTCTGTTGCGCCAGGGATGCCATGAAACCCGTGGGCGCCTTCTTTCTCTTGGAGTGGTAGGTTGTGAACTTGAAGAGCAACGAACTGTACAACTCCTCGAGACTCTTTCTCTCGCGGTCGATGTACGAATTGCCCACAAGGTAGGGAACGAAAAGTTCCTCCATCTGTTGGTCTAGTGTTTGAGAGATTTGGGGAGAGGCTGGCTCTGGGTGCTCTGTCAGACCATGGGTCTTGAGATCCTCGATGAGACTGCTGATGTATGTCCTCGAAGAGTGCAGCGATCTCAGGAAGGCCAGGGATGAGACCTCGTTGGCTTTGTCCAGAACCATCTCGAGTCGTTGCTGAATGGACTGCTGGAACACTCTCTGTATGAACTTGATCAAGACCGTCTCGTAGTATGGGAAAGCCCGCTTGATGATGAAGGATTCCTCCTGCATGACCAGCTTGACTTCGTCAACGAGAGACTGCAGACTTGCCTCGACTCCCGGTGGATCTGAATCTGGGTCGGCAATCTGCTCCCACGTCTCTCCATCCATCATCACCTCGTCCGAGAGCAGTTGGTCTCTGTCGATGAAGAACTGGTGCTGGTTGACGAACGTAGCAATGACGCTGGCACCGCCGTTGAAGTCGTAGAGCACCTTTGAGCACTCCATCATATCGTCGAAGTTTTGGCGCCTGTAGCTGTTGTTGAACTGCTTCAGGAGCTCCTGCTCGAGTGATTCTGAGAACTTCTCCAACAACTCGCGTGTATTATGAGCGCGGCTTGTTCCCGTGACGCCGTTGGTTACGCCGTTCCCGCGGAAGCCATTCGTCCCGTTTGTCTGACCCCATGATGCCGGATCCAAGCGCTGGCTGATACGCATGAGCTGGCGAGAAATGACGGCACATCGCACCTTGTTCTCAGCGCCGCCCTGTCTCTGAATCTCCTCCAGCGACGTCAGCTGGCCAGTCTCGCTGACCTCGAGCCAGCACTGGATGAGGAAGTTGGCGTCCTGAGCACGCCTTCGTTTCCTGTCCAATTCTTCGAGCTTCTCTCCAATCTGTACGGCGATGTTGCCTCCTGCTTCTTGCCTCGCGCTTCGGTCGCCGTTCGTCGCGGGGTTATTTAGGGACAGATCGAGCGCCTCGAAGGACGCCATGGACTGGTCGAGCTTTCTCCCGAGGGTATCGAGGGTCTGGTCATGCTGGGATTCGGCTCGTCGCACGTTGGATTGAAGTTCCGATTCCTTCTCCTGGAGTTCCTCGGACAGCGATCCAAGCTGCGAAAGGGCGTCTAGACACTAGTGGTCAGCGATTAGGTTGCGCAGAGGCTCGAGGTTTCGTACTCTCAAACGTTCGAATGAGCGGCTTCGGGTCGAAGGCAGGCTGTGACGGGCCAGACCTTCGATTGGCAGGTACGGCGTTCTCGGCGAGGTTGTCGACGAATTCGCGGACCACGAAGTCCTGGTTGGAGAAATCGTCGAGGGTGAAGCTGGGCCCTTGGGGAAAGAGCGACTTTGCCCCAGACGCAGCCCGCTCCATGGTTGCGGTTGGGCTGAAAGTGCTGTCGTTTCTTGCGTTGGTTCGATTGGTGACAGCCCGCTACATCATTCTCGATGATCTTTGAATCGTAGAAGAGGTATTCCAGCAGCTGGAATAATCGTAATCAGGAAAGGTCGAGTCCAGGTAGTCGAGATTCGATGTTTCCGCGTTTCGGGAGCACGGTATCCGCGTGGCCGTTCAAGCAGTGACGACCGAGCTGTCCCTTGGATCCGCTTTGGGTTAGCGCAAGTGATCCGAAGTCACTTCCCCGCCATCGTTGGCCCGTGTGTACTTTGCGATCCAGCTTGCACGTGATGCTACGAAGCATGGAGGTAATATTACTGACTTCAGCAGCACCACCTCCTGACAACGTTGCGGCTGCAACGAAGACAGAATGACCATCTCAACGCATTGGAGGCACCCAGAAGGCCTCGAGTGAGGAAATCGCGAGTCAAATTCAATATCTGCCCTGAAACTAAAGCAATTCGCTGCGAGCTATGTATCTGCTCTGTCTGCATCCTGTTCCCTCCTGCCTTCCTCTCCTTCTCAAAAATAGCATAAACCATGCGCGTTTCCTGTTCTGCCGCGCTCGCAAGTGCCGAGTTCTCTATCCTCTACCCTGAACTCTCGTTTCTCTTCTCCATGTTCGAACTGTTTTCCTGAGGCGGCCGCCTATTCTCAAGCTGCGTTCCAGAGCTGGAGCACGGCAAGTGAATCCGGGTCCTTGGGAGAGCCTGGTCCAGTGACCAGAGACTCTGGGTCGCTGAGGTGCGAGTCGGAGTTGGGTGTGCCAGGAGGGGTGCCTGGACCACTAGGCTTGACTTCAACGGTGCTTGGCTCAGCGATGTGGGAGCTCGCAACATGGAGATCGTCTGGAGCAGGGCGAGAGCTCGAGCCGAGGTTTTCGCCTTCGGCATGTTGATGGCTTGGAGTGCCAGAACTATCTCCAGTAGAGTCGGCTGCTGCAAGCGTAGCTCCATTCGAGCTAGCAATCGAACCAGAGCTAACGAGGCCGGGCTCTGGCAAATCATTGGCATCGTCATCATCGTCAACCAATTGCCGCAGCCTCTTGAACGGACGGGCCGCTTCTTGCATGTCGGAGGTCTGTTCTCTCAGCCTCTTAACCCATCGGTCAACGATTGCAGCGCCTGTGGTGTGCGTGCCTTCGCCAAGACTTGCCGCGAGTCGGCAGTTTTCCGCGTGGACGACGAGCTGTCTATCCATGTTGTCAATGACTCCCGAAAGGAAGTCTTGAATTCTATCGCGAGGGGTAGCTTCCTTCGACTGAGATAGGGCACCAACCTCCTTCCGAACCATCTCAAAGGCGAGGAACACCTTCATCCTCAACTCCGGCTCCGCAGCATATCTCGCGTCGCAAAGGTACGCAAGCGTCAGGAGGAAGTCTTGAATTATGTCCCAGCTCAGTACGACAACGCCCTCCGTGTCGCTGCTCAACACGATGGATGCGACATGAACGAGAAAGTGGTTCAAATTCGTCAATGATTCCCGTCTCAAGAACGGATAGAGACCCTGTAGGTGATCTGTCAGTGGGCCTGGGACCTAGCTGTAGATTGTGCAGTCTCGGAAGGGTAACCTACGAAGAACTCGTCCACCGCCAACTTTGCATGCCGTTTCTTGAGTCTCTTCTTGCGAATGAAGGCGTCGAGGTAGGTAGAGCTCGGGAAGATGGGAAACTCGACTTTCGTCAGTTTTCCGACCTCGCCTCTGATCTCATTGTACATTTTGAGAGTCATCTTCGAACGCAAGTCTGCAAGGCCAGCTCTGAGTCTCACGATTTGGCTCGCGTCGATAGGGTTGAGCGCAGATGCAGATACCGGGGCAGTGGCAGTAGAAGCAGCGCGCAGGGTCTGGATACCCAGTGAGCCCCCGGGACCAATCCCGGCACCGGCAACCGCAGACTTGCTGTTTCCGGGCATGCTCATGCCTGACTTGGACTTGGACCTGGCCTTGCCAGACTTCTGCTTGGCTGACTTGTTTACTGTGTCCTTTTCCTTGTTGCCATTGCCTTCGTCGTCCTGCTCGTCATCGTCGTCGTCGCTATCCTTCTTGCCTGCAATTTCCAAGATCGAAGCACCCCAAGCGCGACACCGTTTGCTCGCATCAATGAGGTCGTCCGCCTGGTCTCGGAATTCAGGGAAGAAGTAGATTGATTTCGAGGCACCGCCTATCTGAAAGGCCTTGCAGAGACCAGTGGTCGGATCTGGCTCAGCAAGAGCAAAGTAGTCTAGTCGCTTCCTGGCATTGATGGGGACGATGACTTTGAGAGCCGTAGGGCAGTTCCGCGAGACGATTATGGCCTCCAGCTGATCTTTCGAGGCCTTCTGCTCAACTAGGTCTTTCACGGAAAGGACCCGTGTTGCCGGGTGAGGCTCAGTGGAAGGCTGCAGAGGCAAGTACCAACCTACCCATAAACCGCGGCGCGTTGGGCCATTGGGGTTGTTGTCGGCCAGTTCTTGGAAGGTTGGAAGGTTCGTGGTTCCCTTGGTCGTTCCATCCTCCAAACTCTCGATCAGGTTATTGCGGGCTATCTTCCGAGTCTCGCACGCAGAGAACAAAAGCTGCTGATTGGGCAGGCGAGTCTCGCCGAGTCCATCATCGTACGCGTGGAGGTCAAGCCTCCAGGACCACTTCTGCGAGAAGTTTGACTTCTCACCCATCTTGAAGAGAGAAGGTGGAAAAGTGGCGGAGAAGCAATTCTCAAGAGGTAGGAGTGACACAGTTGGGAAATCAGTACCGTAGTTGAAGATGATTCAATGTCGAAAGTGTATGATCCCTTGATTGGTATGGCACTCGACCTGTGAATGGTCTCACGGCTCTATCTAGAGGAAGACGTGAGTTGTTACTGGCAGGTTGAAAGCTGTGAGAGTGATTGGGTATTGTGTTTGAAAACTCCTGTCGGAACAGCCAATTTTGAACGCGAAAGGAAGGAGAGCGCGTACAAACGGAGTGACGAGGGCAGGAGGGAATGAGAACAGGGCGGCGACTGAGAGAGAAGGTATGATGATTGTCATAAAAGGAAGATGTTGGTGTTGATGGACGAAGTAACATCAATGCAAGGTCTTAAGTAAGAAGAGGCCTTGCAAACTCCCGTTCAAAAGTCTTCAATAAGATCGCAGGGCAAGAACCGGAGTAAGAGAGACGTCGGGGTCCTTCCATCTATGCATTGTTCTAATTTCTCACTCATCTGCAAGATGCCGGAGCCCCATTCCTTCCCTCTGCTTGTTTCTCCTAGGCAAGGCAGGTTCAGCCTCCGTCCGTCTAAGCTTCACTCCTGGACTCGGAAGGCAGCAACTCGCACTCTTACATCCTCCTCCGGCTTGAAAAAAATACCCAGACCCTCCTCTTGCTCAGCCAACTCCTCTCCTCCTCAACACGCAGTATCTTGCTACCCAATCACCACTACCCCGAGCAGGATATTGTACATTTTCTTCGTTCGATTCATACCTTGCATACTATCACAAGCAAGTTCTTATACACACGCCGAAGACACAATCTCCGTCAAACAGCATGCCACCCAAGAGAGATAGCCTCCCACGGGCTGCCAAAAAGTCCACCGACGGTGGGGATGACGCGGGGAAGAGTGCTACAGAGCCGGTGCATCTCGGCGAGGCAGGCACTAACGTCGCAATGACCAGAGGAAAGAAGACCAGAGGAAGGCCCAGAGGAAGCAAAACCAGAGGAAACCAGACCAGAGAAAACAAGCGGTTCAGGCATGATTCGAAGACCCCGTTGGACGAGATCCACGTTTCAAGCGGAGGTTCGCCAGGTGCGTCCAACAAGAAGCAGGCCGTCGATTCTCCTCCCCAGATCGCCACTCCTCCCCGCTCCTCGGAACCCCCTGCTGTTCCTCTCGAATCGGAATTCTTGGTTAGAGGAGGCCGCGACAAGCGCATATCCTCGGACGAGCGAGCCAGAAGACGTCAAATCCAGGACGACATCGACTGGCTCGGCAAGTGGCTCCTTAAGTATGCTTACCACCAAATCAAGAAAGAGCAGGGGCTTTATCCCGAAGGGCCGGTCGAGATCGCGGATGATTTAGTTGCGTCTAGTTTTTGGTGGCGCGAAGCCATTGGTACCATCTCCAAGGAGGACGTTATGGAGCAGTTTCGTGTGCTCGAAAGGCAATTACACGAAGCTCCCGATAAGGTGTTTGTGCAAGCCATGTTTGGTTGGACCAGCTACCAGATGTGGAAGGATGGTCGCAACATTCAGGTCATAAAGGGTCAGGCTAGGATCTGGAGCCACGTGCAAGGCGTGGATATAGAGGATGAGTATTGGCAGATGCTTCGACAGGGCTTCCGTGAGTAGTAAACACCTTTGCACCCAAGTCTCGGCTCCCGGGTCCTCAATAAGCCCGTGTTTCTTCTTGTTTGCGAGCTCGGGCTTTCGATTGTAGAGCAGAGAAGACGGGACAGAGAGCACGATGTCTTCTTACAGATATTGATTTCCAAAGCAAACACTGTACTCAGACGACCCTCTTGCTCTCTCTGCCCCCCAGTGAAGCTCTCCTCATCTAGGTTGATGGTGCTTCATAGAAGATGTACCTGTTCACAGGTCCCCTCTGTCCCATCGGTCGAAGCTCTAACGAAAGAGCCCAGCTGGGGTAAGTGACGGAGCCAGCCATGGCGCGCGCTGCCCTCGGTCTCTACACAAACTGCGTGGGAGATGATTAGCTGGAAAGCGCCCACTTTGGATCGATCTGTCAAACCAATGACGGCAGGGCAGACACGACGCGAGTCTGGCCTTAGACATCACAACACAACGTCAAGTAGCCATACTAAACCTTCCTCCCCAATCATGATAGTCACAACACAAATCACTCCAGTCCAGGTTCATGTTTCAACTTGACAAGCCATCGATTGAACAGCCCTACAAGCAGTTGATAGAAATAATACAATAATGCCACCCCCCCTTTTTCATCTTCATCAAGAGTAGCAGGTAGTTTCAACAACCAAACCGGGTCGAACAACAACCCCCTTCAACTTCCTTCCACCCCCTCTTCCCTTTCCCTTCCAAATGTCAACCTCCACCCTCCCCTCTTTCATCTTTCCACCAAGTCAAGTGGGGGAATAAAGTGACAGAAACCATCAAAAAAAAGCCCCTAGAAGTGATGAACAACTTCCTCTCCTCCAACACCCCTTCTCCTAAACACCCTTGAGGTGTATTGTGTGACAAAAAATTGATAATTACATTGCCAAGTACCAGACAAAAGACAAACTTCAACAAGCGACGTTGCTGTGAATCCTTTTTGTGGCTTGGACGTGTGTTGATGAGTTCTCTGCGATATTGGTATCACGGAAATGACTGACTGCGAAGGGAACGACCTGTCCCGGGTCTCGCTCTAAAACAGGAATGTACAGAAGAGAGATGCTAGAAGCGAAGAAGAAAAAGCAAGAGATGGAAGAGAAAAACATGTGGAGGAAAATCGGGAAAAGAGGATGTGAAAAGAGAATTGTGGGAAGCCATGTTCACGAGCGGATGAAGAGAATTACGCCGCCCGAGGAAACATGCCATGCCTGCGGTCGTGCGAGAGTGTGTGAGAGTGAGAGCGAGAGTGAGGTGGTGTGATGCGAGTGTGTAGTAGTAATGGAAATAATGTGCGCGGCGGATAGTTTAGGTGGGCGATAATGGGATAGTAAGGGCACGCCGAGTATGTGTGTGCGTCTCTATGAGACTTATGTGTGGTAATATTGGGATTGTAACGAGTGGTGGACTTTTGAGTGCTCTAAGCCGTCTATGCTGAATGGAGGCCCCCGCCGAAAACGATGCTCCGGAAAAGACCTGGGTATAAAAGTGAAGGACGGATCATGATTGGGATGTCGTGAAGGCGCCATGGCCGAGAACGGAGCTCGGAGAGGTTGCGCAGAGGCGATTAGTGTCTCGTCACCGCCATGACTTCAAGTGAATCGCCGGCTATACCTAGCGTTGATTTTGCTTGGCCTTATTGATCTCGCCGAGGTTCAGCCAGCTCATGTCTGACGATGTTGAAGCCATGGCAAGCGGGGGCTGCTGGCTTACACCACTCGGATGGCCCTGGCCCGGTGGCCTTGATGGGATGCTTGGTGCCAGTGACGTCGGGTAGAGGCTCTCAGCGTAGACACTGCTCGGGGCACGATCCGCACCCCATGGCTTCTTGTAGCTGCCAATGGGGTCCCAGGTATCACGGACGCTCTCAGGAATGCCACTTGAGTAGCCAGATGAGGCGTCCGAGGTAGGTCGTCGGGGTGATTCGATCTTGGCGGAAACTCCGTCTCTGAAGGGGATCTGGTTTGAGTAGTCCGAGACAGTAGGGCTGCCTGAGACCACGCGGTTGAGCTCCGGCCGGCCATCGTGCCGAATGGGCGGTACGGTGGACAGATCCTGGGTGATGAGGTGAAGGGGTGGGACGGTGGCAGAGTCCTGAGTAATCCGGTTCTTGTTCGAGTAGTGAGAGGTTTCCGAGTCGACAGTGGTCCGCTTCGAGTTGCCGAATCCGAGGATGTTGAGAGCGCTGCCGCCAGACCAGTATCGGTTCCAGCCTGAGCTTCTGCGGGTCTCACCAGGACGTCCCATCTGGTTTCCACGAGTTGTGGGGCGGGGTTCAACGGTGTCAGCGGCAAAAGAGACGCCCTTCTCGTCACGGGAAGGCGGTGCCAGGTTGGGAACCTCGTTGACCTGCGGCATGGGCTTGCTGATAGTGCTCTTGAAGAAGCTGTTCGTAGAGCCACGCTTGAAGTCATTGCTAGGGCCGCGAGGGGCGACGTTGGCGTTGGACTTGGGACCATTGGCCTTGCCCATCAAGATAGCCATCGAGGAGAAGGATCCAGCCGAATCGGACTGCTGGTGTCCTCGGAAACCGGGAGCGGGGCCAAAGTCGTTGTTGCCGTAACCGAGTCCAGCCTTCTCGTCGGGGAAGCCTCGTTGGCCTTGCTCGGGGTTGGGCTGGTTCTTCGCACGACGACGGCGGATACAGAAGAGAATCAAGCCAAGGAGGATCATGATACCGGTGATAGTTCCAAGCACAATACCAAGGATGGCGTTGGCGCTGACAGAGGCGCCAACAGCGGGGGCGGCAGTCTCCGAAGAGGCAGAGGACGAAGCAGAGGCGGAGGCAGAAGCAGGGCCAGTAATGGCGGAGGAGACACTAGAGATCGCGCTCGACGAAGACTTTGAAGAGCTGCTGCTACTGCTTGAGGTGGAAGTAGCAGTCGACGAAGCACTTGTGCTGCTAGACGTCTCGCTGGTAATGAGGACGGACTGCTCGCTCAACTTCTGATTGGCGTCTGTCCAGCTGTTTTCGCGCGCATTGAACATGCACAAAACATCGTTCGTGTTGCCTCCGGCAAATACAACAAGGCCGGTGGAGTCAGATGCAAGGGCGTAGTTGGCGCGGGTTCCCGTGGGCGCGAGGGTGCTGTTGTAGGCAGGCCAGTCTGCCAGAGTCAAATCGCGCTTCGCCATCTCAGCCGCCGTTCGTGTCGTCTTCTTCGACACCGCGGCGGAGTTGGCAACAGGTGCTCCCGCAGCATCGATAAGGACCATACGCTGGACCTCGTTCGGTGAGGTCGACAGGTCGAAGGTGTACAAGCTCTTGCTTCCATCATCTCCCTTCATAAGCATCGCCCTGATCGCCGTAGTATCCTTCAAGATTGGTGAAGCGAGAGTCGCGCCAGAGTCC